TAACATAAAGTAATGTAACTAATGACAGAACCAATAACTCACTAGAAAACAAGGACGCTGAAACTAAAAATGAGTCTGAGAGGTTGGTTTTTGTTCTGTCCCTGAGTGCAACAATGAACTTTATATTAATCAAGAAATCAAGAATAAGGTGTCTACTTTAACTGTCTGTTTCAGTGGTTCTTATTGTTTGTCTATTGCATATCAGTCTTTCCTTTGCACATGATATAATTAGTTGCCTTACATAAACTAGTGAAAGTCTGTTAGCCACAACCAACCAGCCTGGTGACATGACATTCTGTACTGGCACTAGATGGTACTAAGCATGTTTTAACATGTATTTTTAAAATCCAACTTTACACACAGAGTTAAACAGATGATAATTTTTGGAGTTAGCCTTTAAATGTGTAGTGTTCACTGATTTTATCTTTGTTTTTTTGTGAACAGTATTTCCGGGTTGGTTTGCTGATTTGTCTGCTGGTTCACGCCTTACATTCAGAGTGTGCGATGTTGTCACATTCTTAGAATATTATGGTCTTGACCTTTGAACTGTTCCCTGTTTGGGCAGAACATGGTGGAAGTGCAGACGACAGCACTGTGAGTTGCAACAGAAAAGCAAGAGGAAGTGATACAACACGCCTTAATGCATACATTACAGCACCCAGTGAGTGAAGTGGAGAGACACGAGACTCCGCAGAAACAAATGATATAAACCTTACTTCTGTAGTGCTCAGTGCCATTATCATCACCATCACCATTATCTGACAGTGGGGATGGAGGTTGTATTATTTTAACTGTGTGATAGCTAGCAAATATTACTTGGTTTTCAATTTTCCAACTGATGAGGGGAATGAGGAAGGCCTGCAATGTTATTATAGGTGTCAGTAAAATAATACATTTTGGCAAACCTGAGAAATCTGCAAAGTGGCCACTCTGTGTGTGTGGCAGTGTGTTTGTATTGAGTTCAGCCTCGTATTGACCTTTGAGCTCAGCAGAAGCCCTG